GCAACATAAATGACCCAGCTCCAGTGGCAGTGGTGAGCGACACCACCGATCGACACCAAAAATACATGTTTGAGCACCCCCTGCAGGAAAATACCACTTCGTTCTTCTCCATCGGACTCTGATTGGTGAGTAAAAAGAGCAAAACGAAGAAAAAGCCATCTGGTCATTTTAGAGATCATATTTTGCAGATAATGGTGGAGAACTCAGACTTTCATCTTATGACAGGTAGATCACAGACATATCATGTCTGATATTTGAACGCTCAGCACTAACGTTATATCCGTAACCTGTTGCTAGCTAGCTAACTGCTGGACTGTCCTTCTGGCTAAGGCAAGTAGGAAGCATCGTCTAGCTATGATACAAGCCACGTTGTAATAAACCTTCATAACAAGCACTGTTGACAAATGTAGAAAAGCTTGAAAATCCTGCTTGCTAGGAGTTTTTCCTGGGACTCAGAGCAGCAGGAGATCAGTCACGTTATGCAAGGGAGCAAAATGTATACATACGCAGCAAAAATAGTATCTTGTCAATTAGAATTATCTTAATTCTAGTTGATATATCTAATATTTCTTATTTTTGAGATGGTTGTGCACTTATTATGAGATTTATTAGCTTATTTCTTGATATTTTGTACCTGTTTTAAGTATACTGGCAGATAATTTAGCCTAATTCAAGCTCATTTCATAAAACAAGCAAAATTATCTGCCAACATAGCAAGATAATTTTACTTAATAAAATTCCCTAAAATAAGAAGAAATGTTTGGAAATTAGCTAAATAATCTTGAAATAAGCTCACAACAATCTCGACAGAAGAAATATTAGTTTTAAGATACTTTTACTTGTTTTACTTGACGAGATACCATTTTTTGCAATGTATTGCTAAATCTCATTGGTACTTTGGTAGATCTGACGTCACCTGTGACAAATTTCGTCCTATCCAACGGAAGACAATGGCAGTTTTAGTCATTTAAAGTCATTTAAAAATCTCTCAAATGAAAAGACCAATATATCAATAACTGTAGATAATAGGTCGATTATAAATTATGAAAATGGGCTTTTCTACTGTATGTGCATTGCAGGTTTAGGGTAATTCAGCATGTCACCACTCATTTTCCTCATCTAGGAGTTACTGTAGAGAAAGATTGAGCAGATACACACACACTCACACACACACACACATGCACACACACACATACACACACACACACACGCACACATACACACACACACACACACACAGGGAGAATGGGGAATCTCTTAGCAAATGAAAATGGGACACACACACACACACACACACACACACACCTGAAAGTGAAGGAGGGGGCTGTGCTTTGGTAAATGTCATTCTCTATTCCCTCAATCATTTATCATCATCCCTCTCTCTCTCCCTCTCTCTCCCTCTCTCTCTCTTTCTCTCGCTCTCTCTCATGTATGCACAGAGGTACACATGGTGGTTAACTCAGTCTTAAAGAAACTCCAGTCAACTCAATGTCTTTCCGTCACAGACTTCTACACTCAATCACTTCCTTTCTCTCAGACAGAGATTTGCACACATACACATATGAACACACACACACACACACACACACACACACACATTTCTCTGCACATATGAACATTTTCCCATTTTGTTCAGGCTTTTTCTGAACAGTCATGTGGAACAGTAATGTACTGCTGAGGGGAAACGACTGTGAGGGTTTCATAGTGACACACACACACACTTTTATCGTAACACATATCATCTCAAAACACACACACACACACACTCACACATTTATATGATCCTAAAACACACAGGGCTCTGCAGCGTTAGAGACCACCTTACATTTCTCTGCTGTCGGAACAAAACCTTGTATCTCCATTTTTGTCAGTTTTTCAGTTTTTGACATAATTTTTTAATCAAAAGTGCCTGTTGTCCTTTACATGTGTGTGTAAATTTCACGATGAAGGGACAAAAAGAAACGGCCCAAAGTGACTTGGAAAAACATCTGGTTCCATTGACTCACATTAAAAGTAAAGTAGGTTTTTTCCTTCTCCTGTAAAGTGACCATTTTGGAGATACGAGGTTTTGTTCTGACAACAGCGAACGACTTTATTTCCAGTCCAAACAGCTATTAAGTGCTTGTTATTCATTTGATATTTCTGACAAGATCAGATATAAGATAATCCACTTGCACAAGGAAGGAGAAAGTCGAAGGAAAATAAGTGAAAAAAACAAGAGTTCCCAGAACTAGATATAGAGAAAATGGGATTCCTAACAAACACCTGGAAGACCTGGTAGACAGCAAAACTGTCCCCTTCAGATAAACAGAACTTAAAGCTTTCATCTTTGGTGGGAGAGTCTAGCTCAACTCTTGCTTCAGATCTGTAAAAATCAGCAAGAGTTTCTGTCCATCCTTCCACTGTGAGAGGTCAATCAATAAACCTATAAATATACCATATACTTAACAGTCATTTTGACTGGAATTTAAATAAATGAAAGGGTGGCTCTGACTTTGCACAGTAAAAAGAAGTAAAAGGCCCAAAACCATCACAAACACTGCTCGCCAATGACAAATACATCAAATCAAAAATGTTCCTTACAGAAATTAAAAATCAAGAGCGGTTTTATACTCGTATCTTGGCACCTTGAATCAAAATCAAACTGGATTGTGAGGTGCCTAGAGTTCCCACCCATAGTATATATCATAACACACATCCTAACACACCCCCTACACACACATACACACACACAGTGCTACACAGATATCCATCTGCACCACACACAAATACAAAATCACACATTTGTAAAACACAGCTTTCTAAAACACACATAGAAGCACACAAACACACAAATACACGTTTGTCTTGCTATATTTGTGAGGACTTCCATGTAATTCTATTGATTTTTGTATTACTGCAGCCACATTATACAACACCTACACCTAAACCTGAGCCTAAACTTAACCTCAGTATCCAATAGGCAATTTACGTGCTCTTTTAATTTTTCAAAATAAATAAATAAATAAATAAATGATGTAATTTGCGGTAAAAACAGCACATGTTCAAGTGAGGACCAGCAAAATGTCCTCACTTGACCAAAAATGTCATGTCCTATCATTATGAGGACCACAAGCAAGACAAGAACACACACATTTATATCATAACACACAATAAACATATATACATAAAATACCACACACACACACACACATACAACTGCCGCACAGCTGTGATCAAGTCTCCAAGCACAGCCTACAGTCTAGTTTTACTGAGGTAAGCCTCCAAGCACAGACACCCATTTGCATCACACACACACACAATGCTTGTCTCTGAGGGAATAGATACAAAATGTTGTACACAGATGGGGGTGTAATGGATTAGATCTCTTAGCATCTGATGAATGACCATTTACGAGACATGACAGGAGGACTAACAGAGAGCATACTTAAACATACACACCCGCGCACACACACACACACACACACACACACACACACACAAACACACACACACCGTATAAAATGCCACTTACTCACATTTATAAGCTGCCATGCAGTCGTTGGCTCTCCAAACCTTTCAGAATCACACACACACACACACACACACACACACACCAAAATCCTTCTTAAAACTCTTTAAAATGCACAAAATATCCTTAATCATAATTTCTATTTTACCTCAGAGACGCGCAATTGAACAAAAACCATAACAACAACAACAACCCCCACCACACACCCACTGGAGGAATAAAGCCACAATTTTAGAACATTTCAGCCATGGGTGTGTATACATATGTGTGTATATATATATATATATTATATATATATATATATATATATTATATATAATATATTAAATTGTTCTTTGCATGGTGACTGGTTCTTCAGATTGATGGAGAAAGCACGCAAATGGTTAGTTGAATGCTCATGGTTCTATATAGAATCACTGCCTTCTAAAAACGTGTACTAAAGAACCATCGTTTTTAAGAGTTTGGGGATAACTTCACAGTGTCATTCTTTCAAATAACGTATTTTCCATCTTCTAGTCAGATGCCGCAGATGAAAACTAAGTTTCACAGTCTCAAAGCGTGAGATTAGAGCCAAAATGAGAGAAAAAATGTGTCCTCAACACACATTTTAACACAGTATTTGGACAGAGGCCATTAGTGAGAGAAACAGGAATCTGAGATAACTTTTTCACAACATCATTTTCTTCCCAGACACCGTGCACCGACTGCAGAATGAGAAAGTCATAGCATGATGATGAAGCTAAAATGAGTCAAAAAGGTATTTTTACACAGTATTACTCCATTAGGGAGTGAAAAATTGACAGAAATCTCTCAGAAACATCGTCACCTGAGGTAACTTTTTCTAGATATCGTCTCCTTCTCAGACACTGACCTCAGAATGAGTTGTTTCAAAGCCAAAACGATAGAAAAACGTTTTTTTTCTATGCACAGTTCAACACAATATTTTGACAGATGCCATTATGAAGAGATAATCTGACAGAAATCTGTCAGAAACATCATCACCTGAGGTAACTTTTTATTTGGGTCGTTTTTTTTTCTCAGAGACTGACCTCAGAATGAGTTATTTCAAAGCCAAAACGATAGAAAAACGTATTTTCAATACACGTTTCAACACAGTATTTCGACAGACGTCGTTATGGTGAGACAAACTGACAGAAATCTGTCAGAAACATCGTCACCTGAGGTAACTTTTTTTCTAGATCGGTCCCTTCTCAGAGACTGAGCCCGGAGTGAGGAGTTTGAGAGAGTATAGAGTGATAATCAGGCCAAAAAGACAGAAAAAACGTATTTTCAATACACATTTCCACACAGTATTAGCAAAGAGACCGTTAGAGAGAGAATTTAAACTGGCGCCAGAGCGCTCGCGCGCGCGCTCCGTTTAACGGTCTCTCTGCTGACAGGATTCTTAAAGCGCTGCTAAAAGAGAGCATTTCTGAGGTAAAAGTAGCGTTAATGTTGTGTTTGTCATCTTTCTGAAAGCGTTACTCACCCGGAGAGGACGTGTGTTTGCTGAGTGGACGGTTTAGTCGATCGTGTGGGGCGAAAAACACCGGGAGTTTTAACGAGAAGCTGCCGGCTGCGGTCGGTCGGACGAACGAGTCCTGCTCAGTCGCTCGCGAGGGTTAGAAAAGGCTGTCCGCGCGCGCGCGCGCGTGTGTGTGTGTGTGTGTGTGTGTGTGTGTGTGTGTGTGTTGGGGGGTGGGGGGGTGACAGTACCACCTCAGTTTCCCCGCCGACCTGTGGGAAACCCACTGAGCCCGAATGAGTTACAGCACCAGCGAACCGAATCAACAATGCTGCGAGTTAATCGTAAAGAAGTCAATTAACACTTTGGCCTCATTAAATATGCACTTATTATGCAAATGGGCTCCTCTAACTACCCATAGCATTACATTAGTACATTTACCTCAGAGACCGTTAAAAAACGGCGGCGCGTTCTGTGCTCGCGCCGCAGTTCTACTTATAAATAAATAAGTAAATAAATGAAAACGGCACGAGTCGCTTCTCGCGCGCCTGGAGTTCGAGAGAATATATATAATATATTTATTTTAAACCCGGTCTTTAATGACTCCAGCAGGAGTTTAGATCTAATCACGACTCCGTGAACAGAGGTTTTCTCTCAGACAGAGAGAGAGAGAGAGAGAGAGAGAGAGAGAGAGAGAGAACAGGAACAGAGGGAAGAGAGAGAGAAAAAGAGAAAAAAGAGTGAGAGAACAGGAGTAAGAGGGAGAGAGGGGGGGGGCAGAAGGAAGAGAGGGGCAGAAGAAGGAGAGAGAGAAAGAGGAAAAAGAGTGAGAGAACAGGAGTGAGAGACATAGAGAGAGAGTGGAAAAAGAGAGAGGGAACAGGAGCAAGTGGGTAGGAGGAAAAAGGAGAGTGAGAGAAAAGAAAGAGGAGAAAGAGAGAGAGAGAGAAAAGAGTGAGGGAACAGGAGGAAAGTGAGAGTGAGAGAAAGGAAAGACAAGAAACAGAGAGAAAGAGAACAGATCAGAAAGAAACAGAGGAAAGGAGTGAGAGAGAAATGGAAAGGGATCAGATAGAAACAGAAAAAAGAAGAGAGAGAAAGCATGAGAGAGAGGAAGAGAAGAAGCAGAGAGAGAGAGAGAGAGAGAGAGAGATGTGAGAGTATAAAAGAAACTGAGTGAGGAAAAAAACAAAGAAGGAAGAGGTTTGAGGAGAGGAGAGGAAAAGAAGAGACAGAGAAAGACAGGATGGGATGAGGGTAGAGAGAAAGGAGAGCGAGAGAGAGAGAAAAAATGAAGAAAACAAAGAGAAAGTGGAGAGATGGCATGAGAGAGAAAGGGAGAAAAAGAGGCAATCAGAAGAAAGAGAGAGAGAGACAGACAGAGAGAGACAGAGAGAGAGACTGAACTGAATGGCCTTTGGTTGTGCTGGTGGGCTTTTTAAGGGTCCAAACTTGACCCGGTTCAGTTTACAGATTCGGTCACTGACAAGGCGGTCTTTAATTTTCTACACAGGAGTCCTCAACAGTGGCAGAGAGAGAGAGAGAGAGACAGAGAGAGAGACAGACAAACAGACAGAGAAAGAGAGAGAGAGAGAGAGGAGAGAGAGAGAGAGAGAGTATTCCTGATGGATTGTCCTCACTCCAGGGGGTTCAAGGGGGCAGCATGTGTGTGTGTGTCTGTGTGTGTGTGTGTGTGTGTGTGTGTGGTGTGTGTGTGTGTGTGTGCGCGCACTCAGAGAGACACTGCTGGTGCTGGTGGGAGAAGAGATAGAAAGCGATGGAAAAAAAGAGAGAGAGGAGCAGAGCACGGAGGAAAGAGAAGAAATCAGAGTGAGAAAGAAAGGAGAAGATAGAAAAAACAGACAGAAGGAGGGATGAGAGAAGGAGAGAAGGACGAGAGAGATGGACAGATGCCCAGTGTCAGTCTGCAGAAAGCAGGTGGGGGAGGGGGCGTGGCTCAGATCAGGAGGGGGCGGGGCAGCTCAGTCTGATTAATATTCTGATGTCATCCTGCACTCCGCCTCTTCTAGTGCACTTACAGGATGACAGTGTGATATCATCCTGTATGGATCACTCCTCTCTAATACCAACACACATACCCCCCCCTACTACTCTCTCTCTCTCTCTCTCTCTTTCTCTCCATCTCTCTCGCCCTCCCTGCCACTCATTCTCCCTCAAACTCTCTCTCTCCCTCCCTCTCACTCTCTCTCCATCTCTCTCGCCCTCCCTGCCTCTCATTCTCCCTCAAACTCTCTCTCTCCCTCCCTCTCACTCTCTCTCCATCTCTCTCGCCCTCCCTCCCTCTCATTCTCCCTCAAACTCTCTCTCTCCCTCCCTCTCACTCTCTCTCTATCGCTCTCGCCCTCCCTGCCTCTCATTATCCCTCAAACTCTCTCTCTCTCTCCCTCCCTCTCTCTCTCTTTTGCTCTTCATCTCTCTTTCTCCCCCAAACTCTCTTACTCTCTTTTGTTTATCATCTCTTGCTCCCTCTCAAACTCTATCTCTCTCTCTCTTACTCTCTCTCTACTACTCTTCCTCCCTTTCTTTTTTCTCTCCATCTCTCTCGCCCTCCCTCCCTTTCATTCTCCCTGAAACTCTCTCTCTCTTACTCTCTCTTTTGCTCTCCATCTCTCTCGCCTTCCCTCCCTCTCATTCTCCCTCAAACTCTCTATCTCCCTCCCTCTCTCTCTTTTGCTCTCCATCTCTCTCGCCCTCCCTCCCTCTCATTCTCCCTCAAACACTCTCTCTCTTACTCTCTTTTTCTCCATCTCTCTCGCCTTCCCTCCCTCTCATTCTCCCTCAAACACTCTCTCTCTTACTCTCTTTTTCTCCATCTCTCTCGCCCTCCCTCCCTCTCATTCTCCCTCAAACTCTCTATCTCCCTCCCTCTCTCTCTTTTGCTCTCCATCTCTCTCGCCCTCCCTCCCTCTCATTTTCCCTCAAACTCTCTCTCTTTTACTCTATTTTGCTTATCATCTCTCTTGCTCTCCCTCAAACTCTCTCTCTCTACTACTACTCTCTCTCCCTTTCTCTTTCGCTCTCCATCTCTCTCACTCTCCCTACCTCTCTTTCTTATGGAGCCCCGCTGGTGACTTCCTGTATAAATAAAAATAATGGGTGGCCATGACTTTGTAAGACGTGGGAACAAGACAATTATCTCATGGCCATGACTTAGTATGGCGTGGGAACGAGATCCTAATGCGTGGCCACGACTTAGTAAGGCATGGTCTTGTTCCCATGTCTTACTATGTCGTGGCCATGACTTAATTATCTCATTCCCACGCCTTACTAAGTTGTGGCCACACATAAAGATCTCGTTCCCACGTGTTAATAAGTCGTGGCCATGCATTATTTTTGTTTACATGGGATGTCACCAGCAGGGCTCCATACTTTTCCCCTCAAACTCTCTCTCTCTCTTACTCTCTCTCTTGTGCTGTCCATCTCTCTCTCTCTTTCTCCCTCAAACTCTATCTCTCACTCTATGTATTCATCTCTCTCTCCTCTTCCTTAACCCCACTCTCTCTCTTTTCTTCCCTCCACTGCATCTTCTTTTTCTTCTCTTCTTTTCACTTTAATCCCCTCATCTGTTAAACTCATAATCTGCTGATTGTCTAACAATTCCTTTAATCTCCGACTCTTAAATCAACACCCTCTACAGATAAACTCTACCTTGGTTGAGCTCATTGTGTGATTAGACCTTTCCTATGTTGCTTCTATCATAATGTACATTAATTTCTGAATGGTTTCTCCTACAGATCTGGCCTTATTCTGCTTAAAGATATTAGAAGAGACAATAAGATATAATAATAATAATAAGTATGTTGTACCCTGTAGAAGAAGACGAGGAAAACACTGCGCAAACGCTCTTTTATTTTGAACAGGCACCTCAAAAAGCAGCAAGACATGCCAATCCCAACATGAAACACAGGGAGCGCGTAATGTGGGAGGACACAACATTCGAGAAGACACTTCTGACCGCTATTTAGCCGCAAAGCCCACCCTCAGACACAAGAAGAGGTTCCCCGAGAGCCCCTTTCCATGGCCACACCCCTCTGAGCTCCCCACGGCAGCGCAGCCTGTGGTAGCTGCTACGATATTAAAGTAGTAATAGTAGTTTTCAGTAGTAATGAACGCACAACCTCATTTCCAAAAAAGTTGGGACGCTGTGCAAAATGTAAACAAAAACAAAATGCAATGATGTACAAATCATTTAAACTATACATTTCATTGAAAATAGCACAAAGGCAAGAGAAATTTAAATATTTGCCCATTTTGAATTTGATGCTAACAACATGTTCCAAAAAGTTGAGACGGAAGCAACAAAAGGCTGGTAAAGTTGTGTAATGCTAAAAAAAAAGACATCTGGTGGTGATGAGGATGAGGAGGGTTTCACCAAGATCACACGGGCAAATAGTGCAATAATTCAAGAATAACATTTCTCAATGTAAAATAGCAAAGAATTTGAGGATTTCATATATGTAAGTGTAAATGTATGTAAGGGACGAGGCCAAAAACCAGTGTTTGCTGGCTGTGATCTTTTGGCCCTCAGACGGCACTGCATTAAAAACAAGCATGATTCTATAGTGGAAATCACTGCATGGGCTCAGAAACACTTCTAAAAAACACTGTGAACACAGTTTGTTTTTGCATCCACAAATGCAAGACAAAACTCTAAAATGCAAAGAAGAAACAGTACATAAACAGGATCCAGAATTGCTGCCACTTTCTCTGGGCCTGAGCTCATTTAAAATGGACTGAGGGAAACTGGAAAAGTGTCCTGTGGTCCGATGAATCAACATTTGAAGTTCTTTTTGGAAATCATGGACACTGTGTACTCCTGGCTAAAGACCACTCAGCTTGCTATCAATGCCCAGTTCAAAAGCCAGTATTCATGATGGTATAGGGGGGCATTATGCACATGACATGGGTGATGTGCACATCTGTGAAGGCACCATTAATGCTGAATGATACATGTTTTGGCAATATATGCTGCCATCCAGACAACGTCTTTTTCAGGGAAGGCCTTGATTATTTAAGTATGCTAAACATTCTGCATGTATTACAACAGCATTGCTTTGTATTAAAAGAGTCTGGTGCTAAACTGGCCTGCAGACCTGTCACCAGTCAAATCATT